TACATGATATAATTATATAGTGGCCGACAGAGGGAAGGATAAACTAAACCAGCGAGCTCTTGGAGCTCAGCCCAATATTTCCTCACATTAAAGCATTGTAACTTTTTGTACAAACGCACTAACATGGATATCCGAACTTGCAAAGGATATAAAGTTGCTTAAATGGACTAATCCAACAGAACCGAACGAATTTTGTTTTTGATTTTTTTTCGACTATTCCAGTCATATGTGTTGTTGTTTCTTGATAAATTTAAATGGAAGTCAACCTGTTTTTGTTTTGAACTTTAACTTTCAAACCACCCTCAACTGTTTGGCAGAGAGCGAGCCTCGTATCGTGTATTAGAGGAGGGTCTGTAATTTTATTTAGTTCGCCAAACAAATATTTGCAAACCGGCAATGCTTACGTTGTTATAAAACTGTTTCAGATTCGAGTAGTGAAGATGAAGAGGATCAGAAGGGATCTGAAGAAGAAGCAGATCCTTCAGGTGAGAACATTTAACAGGAAATTGGGGTCAAAATACAGGGTGATTCAAAATTGGCGCCATTCCTTTTAATATTTTAATATTAATATTTTACTATTAATTAACATTCCACTTATAGAGTACGAGAAAAATATTGAAATTTTTTTTCGATAATTTCTAGATTCCGGTCATACGTGTTGTTGTTTCTTGATATATTTAGATGGAAGTCAACCAGTTTTTTGTTTTGACGTTTAACTTCCAGCTTCAACTGTGTTTGGCAGAGAATGAGCCTCATATCGTGTATTTGAGGAGGATCTGTAATTTTATTTAGTTTGCCAAACAAATATTTGCAAACCGGCAATGCTTACATTGTTATAAAACTGTTTCAGATTCGAGCAGTGAAGATGAGGAGGACATCGCAGATCGTTCCAATCACATAATGAGCCTTTATACCCCACATATGGTCCGAAAAATCCAGGAATTGCCCTTACCTCCAATGATGAAAAAATATCTTAATTATAACAGAGATATGAACTTTGAAGATGATGAATAAGTTTAATCTTTGTAAAGTTAAAAGTTATTATGTATTTCTAGTATATAGTATACTAGTATTACATAAACCTTAATCTGTTAATTAAGTTACTATTAGGATACTTTAGGATTGTCTGTTGAAATAGTGGTGATCAAACAGGTTATTTAAGTATTATGTTCTTTGTAAGCAAGTGATTTGAATTTCAATTAAACTAGTTGAAAGTGATCTGTCTTTTGAGTTGTTGCCGCTCTGTGCGCTAATGAGTTATAACTCATCGCGTCTCACTGTGCCTCACTTGAACTGAATTACTCCATTTCCATGCTCATTTCTCAACAGCAAATTGAGCTGGAGCACTTGATAGACCATTGAATGGCATATTGTCACAAATTAAGGCATTCGATCGGGAGCTATCAGATGAAGCAATAAGCCAGTGGAGACTGAAAAGTATAATACAAAAGAGATGGTCATGACTAGAAAATAATAAAATTAAGTTTCAATGTAAATTTTGCATAATTTAATGAGAACATTTTATTGACATTTTGAATTTATTGTTTCCTATCATCGCTCGGAAATTGAGCAACAGTTTAATTTTTGGGTGATTTCTTCGCGGATTTGTTGTATGTAATATTTTACAGGAAAATAAATTGGGTTATAAATTTTAATTTGGGCATTGTACAATAATCACTGCAGCTGAATGAAATTCAGTGAAATATAAATTGCTCTAAATTTAAAATGAAATTGGTGAAAGATCAGAGCATAAGGTACTTTATTCGTGTGCAAAGTCATATTTTCTGAAGTAGGTATAAGTATTTCGTATATGACTTTAAAAAATATCTGATAGTTTCAATTTAGTTTACAATTAATATCTGATTAGCTTTTGGACTATGCTGACGTTTTTATGAAGAATAATTAACTTTTGTTCGTAAATAAATTAATAGGTAATAAAAAAGTTTTCCATATGGTACGAACTTAAGTAGACACACTGCATCATCTAAGAAGTTAGCTAAATACATACACTTATTATTTATTTTAAATCTTTGATACCTGTATTAGGTACTTAAAGAAAATTACTTCTTAAAAATATACTGTATACTAACGCTCGGAATCAAACTCGAATAATTCGAGTATTCGAATATTCAAAAAGCGAATAATTATATCTAGTCGTAATTCGAATATTCAAATACTCGAATTCTTAAATACACCAACATTATCAAACTCAGAAGGTGCAAATATCTATGCAAGTTTTAATAATCATTAAAATGTAATAAATACAGTAAGAGTAAGTTCAAGCTCTTTCTTAAGTTTAAGAAAACGTTGTTCTAAAGTATTAATTAAAAGTATTTAATAAGTACACCGCTGCATGTGAGAAGCGAATTGCTTCATTCGATTGGAGTAACCAGCAGGAACAAAATGGACCCAATGGAAACAACTTCTATTTTACAAGCTATGCAGCAAGAGGAAGACATTGAAACGTTATGATCATAATTTGAAGAGTTTCAGGAAAGACGTATTCGGGGTGAATAATGTAAGTAATCTTTTAAACAATAACACTTACAATTGTTTAGAAGATATATGATAGCAGACCCTGGGCGCATACATTTTTCCTATCGCAGCTACGTCAAAAAGGTTTAATGGAATTCTTAAACATTTCAATAATTTATTGCCCTTTGCATGCCGAATATAATAAATACGGCAGTTTCGGAATGTATTATGTCAAAATATATTTTGCTTTTAATAAATCGTCACAGGTGCAGTGACTTTTAATGTAATGTGCGAAAGTATACCTTGCTACGAATAATAAATTCATAGAAGTAAAGCTTATGCCCCATGCATCCGTTTATATGATGATACGATGATACGAAATTGTTTCTATTGGTAGGAGATCTGTCAATTCTTCCGCCGACCAATAGAAAGACTTTCGTATCATCGTACCATCGTATAAGGGGATGCATGGGACACATGCTTTAGAATCATATTGTAATTCATAAATCCAAATTCCCGCTTCTGTTTAATTTACGGACGTAAACAACTGGCAGAGAGCGCGCATAATCGATCACGGGCGTTTGCATGGATTTGTCACGTCTTATTCAGAGGTGTTCTGTGATCCACACAAACAAATTGTCGTATCTTATTAGCATTGGACATAGTTTCATTCTGTATTTTTGTAGAAATCTGCAGGTTCTAAGCATTAATATTATAAAAAAAAGAAGTACCGCTATCGTTAGCCACTATTTTGTTTACTACATGTGATTCATCGTTTTTACTTTTACTTAAATTAAACATTTTTCAACATGCAGGTTATGTTTTCTAACAGCTGATTGCTGCTGGATACAAATGTGTACATGTCTTGCAGACAATTTGTCGATTATACATACACACAATTCTAATGACAACATTTTAAGTGTCTGCAGGTCACGTCGTACGATTTTCTGCTGTAGCGGATTGCTTTAAAGAAGAATGTGCATAGTTAAACAGTGGTGAAAACTCTTAAGAGAGAGGCAATGTCATTGCGATTTTGTTCGCAGCCGAAGTCTCTCTTGCGACTTAAAGATGAGAGAGCCAGTGTGAAAAAGAAAAGACTGTATATTACTATAATTCTGTATATTTTAAGTTTTATGAGAGTTATGAGTAACTGATCTTGCTTACTATGTTTTTCAACTTTCCAGTCATAGTAACACACTACTTATATCTTTGAGTAATGCAAACAAACATATAAATATTGCATAAGTAGGAATTGCATTAACACTGTAGTTCTTGGCACGTTCTTGGAGAAAATCATTTTTTCCCGTATGTACCGACATACTTTAATCGCGATTAAGCCTTAAACCGGTTTAAAAATCGTAAACGGTATGCACCGTCGACTGCTTTGACCTTAAACTCGTTTAACTTTAATCCGCCAACCTCCGAGGATTAAGTTCTTAAACTAGTTTAAATACATAACATAACCTTTGAAATTGAGGGTTTTGTTATAGATAAAGACGAGGTTTTGTTTTCGTCCTAGCAAATTCTAGTCGGTTCGTGTGCTAACTACTTGGAAAATGGATTTGGAGGAAGAAATGATATTGGACGATGATATTGATGTTTTAGAAATAATTGATTATGGTTTTCCAATGAGTCAATAACTCCGCACAAAATTATTTCGATGCACTTGACGAAATGTCTTTTTAAAGACGCTTTCGTTGAACAAAGCCGGTCGTTTTTAGATTGCAAGAAGAAATTGGCCACCTTCTAGAATATCCCAGTACCTAAGATTTCTATACTGCTTTAATTGCAAGATTCTGGACATCGCTTTTATATAGTAAAATCGCCAGTAATTTTGTGATACCTTATTGGTTGATTTTCTCAACAGTTAATAACGGTTTTTACCGTTAATATGTCTTTACCTAGAAGAAAAATCGTTATCTCATATAATTTTTGGCAACTAGCCGCAATGGATGGCGGTCATATTCTTTCCCTTTAACAGCGATATTTAACACGAACGGCGGCACATTCATTGGAACACCGGGCGAAAGTTGATAACGCGAGACACTAGAACACGGTTGCCATATCCGTACAAGGTTTAACTAATCCGCCGCTGAATTTCAACGGTGCATACCAGCTGGCTTCTTAAACCGGATTAACTTTTAAACGCGTTTAGTTGATGGCGATTGGTTAGCTTGGCGGTGCATACGGCGGCTACAGCATCAATCCGTGCTGCAGATATAAATTTACATAGAAATAAAAAATATACATGGTAGCGCTTTAAGCAGTAGTTTCAACGTGATTAATGAAGGTGATCGGTTCATTATCAATAATGCTGGTGAACAGGAAAATCACGTTGTTGATAAGAAAAAATAGACTCGCTTATATGTTGTGAAATAAGCTACTTAATTATTGCAACATTTGTTGGCATGTTTTTGAATGCACATCTTTAGTTTACCAAATCAAAAATATAATATGTAAGATTGTAATCATGTTCATTCTATTACATTACAAGACAATAACCAATTACAAGTGCCATCTGTTGATACAAATGCCCACATGTATGAGCGCAGTTTTACAACAATCTGTTTTACGTACAAAGCTAAGTTCAGAAAAACGGAAGCAATTATTGAAAAGTGCTGCTCTTCAGTTGCTCTCCAATATAGAATCAAAAATGTTTCCGGAAGGTTCAGATTTAATTATGAAAAATGTTAAATTGTTAAATTCCAAGCAAAGGAATTTCAATTATTTTTTCAATTTCATTTATTTACGGACTGAGCCAATTTAAATTTACAAATAGTTTGAAAACAATTTGGTATCTATCCGTAATTTACGTATAAACTATTTATCACCTTCTTAAAGTTATAGGAGAATTAGATGCATACTTTGTCCTGTGAAAATTTACATAAAACGTGTTGGTATTTCTAGTGGATTTCAACAAAAAAACCAATAATAGCGCCTTGGGGCAGTCTACCATGTTGTTTATTAACTTATACAAAAATACCAGGTCAAATTTGATTCTTCTAAGTTTAAGTGATTGTATATTAAAAGAAGCTCTCAACATTTCAGAACTAAGATCTACAAGTGAAATATTTGATTTGTGACCTATGAAGCGTAAAACTTTGTTTTGAACTTTTTCTGTCAAGAATGTATTTAGAATAATATGGTGTCCAAATAGTTGTACAATATTCTAAATTAGATCTCACAAAAGCAAAATATAGGCTCTTGATACAGTCAATATTATGAAAATCCTCTAAGTTTCGTTTCAGGAATCCTACCAACTTTAAGGATCTATTAATTTGCGGAATATGATCATTAAAACAAAGTTTAGAATCATACATGACACCTAAATCCTTAATAGAATTGACACGTTCCAAAAAACTGAATTTTGAATGTGATACTGGTTTAAAATTGGATTTTCTTTTCGATAAAAGGTCAATGATTTGCATTTTTCAGCATTCAGTTCCATACCATATCAATTTAAATTAAAATCTGTTTGTCTTGCTAACAAGAAAATAGTGAAGCAAACGTTTTTTTCTGCTAAAAAAAGCAATAGTAATATCTGTACCGTATCAAAGCTAATTTTCGATGAAAATATTATTATTAAAGAAATGTTGTCTTAGGCTATATATACCTCGAAAGGTAGTGAGCACGATCACAAGTACTTAGAGTAGACAATCAAAATGAACCTCTAGAACTTAGTAATACGCTCCGCATATACTGGGAGAATATGAAATCCTACCAAATAAAGTCGTGCGTATGCC